AGTTAGCCATGCCCTTACTTAGATCAGCCCAGAGTTTGTTCCAAGGTTTGATCTGTGAGTTAGGCATGCCCTGACTTAGATCAGCCCAGAGTTTGTTCCAAGGTTTGATCTGTGAGTTACCCATGCCATAATCAGGGTTCGATAACATTTTAATTTTATCTAAATTGAGCTCCATGTATTTTTCCAGTCATCAGCTCACCTACAATGACAATCAACGCACTAAACAGCACCGCCCTGGAAGTGACGTGGCTCCCTCCAGTATTTGGGGCTCAAAGGGTCAAAGAATACAGACTGCTGTATCGAAAAACTGACCAATCAAATTCATTTACTGGCCCAGTCATCATTGCCAATAACATTAAAAGACATCTTGTCACTCAATTAAGTAAGTAAAAAACAAATCATTAAGTAATATACTTCTTTATCTTGTGTGTAATTTTTTTCTTATTTCAGACCACATGTCATTCCCTAGAGTACTATTTCATTGTTTAATGAATGACACTTGTTGTAAAAGTGCTACTCTGACGAAAATCGCTCAAACTTGGATTCAGCTTAAACTTCCTAAGAATACTCTGTAAAGGTCCAATAATCACTGTATGAAGTGTTTTCTCGATATTCAGGACGAAAGTATGRTATTTTTACGATTATTTTTTGGAGTCTGTGACGTCATACACTCAACATCAAACATTGCTACATATATTTCTTTGTATATAAATCCTTAATTTATTTTATTCCTATGAAGCCCAAAAGGTTGCTAATGTGCTTATTTCACATTACTTGTGACTATAATTTATATTWTGGGGTGTTTGGGTATTTCTTTCTCCCTTTACTACTGATATTTTGATCATAAACTACAAAGAAATGTATGGAGGAATAAAATAAATTAAGGATTTATATACAAAGAAATATATGTAGCAATGTTTGATGTTAAGTGTATGACGTCACAGACTCCAAAAAATAATCGTAAAAATATCATACTTTCGTCCTGAATATCGAGAAAACACTTCATACAGTGATTATTGGACCTTTAAAGAGTATTCTTAGGAAGTTTCAGCTGAATCCAAGTTTGAGCGATTTTTATCAAAGTAGCACTTTAAAGAGCTCTAGATTTCAGACCACATTGTCATTCCCCCTTGAATAAGAGTGTCATTAACGGTTGCGCATCAGAAGACACACAAATAACAACTCAAACAAAGAATCTCATAGTCAAGAGAATGACACATGGTTTGAAATAGGAAAACATTACACCTGAATCAGAGTCCATTACCTTTAYCTCAGCTGTTTTTCACTTTATGCTTCTGAAAAAATCACAACATGTTACCAAACATTCTTGAAAAATAAAAAGAATTTCGCAAAACATTTATTACCAGCAAACAAAGAAACAGCACTAAAGAGAATGTTCATTTATTCATTTCAGGATCTAATACTCAATATGTAATCAGATTGATGGCACACGATGGTTACAAACCTGGACAACAAGCAGAAGAAATRGGCCGTACATTGCCAGGTAATATTAACTACTACAGTACTATTTAAGTTTGTTGTGAAGTGTGATCGTCTGGGTGAGTGAAACGTCTCTCTGGACTCTGAAGATGACTTCCGCTCAGGTTGTCAAAATGTCGATCAGCATCAACTACAGTCTTTCTCAAGACTACAATCACCCGGGCGATTACACTTCACAACAAACTTCAACACCTGGGTTCATACTTTACTTTTGTACTGTCCAATATAGTCTTTATGTATCACCTTTTACTAACAAARGTTCTCAATAGGATGTGTGGAAATGTAGGCCTTTTGCACCTACTAACGGATCATAYGAGCAGCTACCATACTTAGGGACTACGTGTATTACCCAACAGGGGCTTGGTGGTTTTCATGGAGCAGGGGTAGGGGGGAATTTTTTGAGAATGTGCAAGTCAAGGTATTTTTTTTTCTACAAAGCAAGGGGGGGGGGGGCATTTTCAGTTTGTTGCAGAATGAAGAGAGTAAAATCTTTTTTATTTTTTAAATAATTTTTTGAGGGGGTGATTTTTTTTAACTTGTTATGTATTTTGTTAGTAAAAACAGCTGTTTGAGGGCTTGTATGTATGCTAAAATGAGGTAACAAGTAGAATATCCCATGGTATGCCAAATTACTAATATTGTAATATTTATTTAATGCTTATTTATTTTGTAGCTAATGCAGACAAAGTAAAAGTTTCATCACTCAATGTCAAATGTGTTCCTGCAAGCCCAACGTCACTACTAGTCTCCTGGATATTTCCTGCTAAAAAGGTATGTCAGATAATGATGATGACGACGATGATGATAATGATGGTGAAGATGAGGGTGATGGAGATGGTAATGGCGATGGTTGATGGTAATGGTGATGATAATGGTGGTGGTGGTTGGGTTGGTGATGACAATGATAATGATGATGATAGTGAGGGTGATGGTAATGGTTGATGGTGATGGTGATGATAATGGTGGTGGTGGTTGGGTTGATGATGACAATGATAATGATGATGATAGTGATGGTGAGGGTGATGGTAATGGTAATGGTGGTGGCGGTTGGGTTGATGGTGATGGTGATGATAATAGTGATGGTGATGGTGATGATAATGGTGGTGGTGGTTGGGTTGATGATGATAGTG